AAATTCAAAATAAATATTTCTAGTCGGCGTATACATACGAAACTTTCTACACAAAAGCGCTTGAATACAAAGAGTATTTTACACATATAGCCGTTCAGCAAATGACGAAATGTTCAAGAGATATTCAAGATCTTGTGTATATGAAATTTAGAATCTTTAGCCAAGCGGTGAGTAAATATATGATTGTTTCGGTTTGTGTAATGTTCAGACGGCACTTGACCCCCCGTTTGAAAGGTTATTTTGTGAGGATTACAATGGTGGTATTTATTTATAAGGGGGGTAAATACTCCCCGAGATATTTATATTAGAAAAATTGTGTCGTGATAATGGTCCGCCATTTAACAGCTCGGAATTTGAACAATTTGCCAGTTACCTTGGTTTCGAACATCGCAAAGTCACTCCGTATTGGCCAAAGGCGAATGGAGAAGTGGAACGGTTTATGCGCACCATTGAAAAAGCCATACGTACAGCACACATCGAAAAGAAGAACTGGAAACAAGCCTTGTATCAATTTCTCCGCCAGTACAGAGCCACACCGCAAAGCACGACGAATGTGTCACCATCCGAGGCCCTGAACAATCGAAAGTTGAAGATACCACTTCCGAGTATTCCAAAAATTCAGCAACAAGAAACCCAAGATCCAATGCGAAAACGAGATCAAGAAAAGAAAGAAAAGATGAAGAAATACTCAGATCATCGACAACACTCGAGAACAACTGATCTGAAGATAGGAGACACAGTCCTGATCCGCCAACCAAAGAAGAACAAGCTTACCCCACCATTTAACCCCAAACCATTCACTTTTGAAGCTCGGAAAGGAACTATGGTTACCGTCAAACGTGGTTCGAAGAAGATAACACGCAACATATCCTTTTTCAAAAAGATTGATAATCGTGTAACGGATAGTTCAGATAACGAAGATGATGATGACGATTTTGATTGCGACCGAACCAACGAAGACCAACTCAATCAAGAACCTGTTCGTTTACGAAGATCCCAGCGAGAAAGAAGACAACCAGATAGACTTGGATTTTGAACATTGAACTATCAATGACTATAGACACATATTGCATTTTAACAGTTGAAATTTGTTTCAGTTTAAATTCCTATTGTCGTTTCGGGCAGAGGAGTCATTTTGAATAACATATAACGTGAAGAACAGAGAGCCTATACTAATGTGGGGAGGGATGTAATATAGCTAATTAATATGCTAATAACTAATCCAAATAGGAATAACTAATCAGTATTCAATATATAGTTCACAAACACTATAACACGCGTTTATCTCGGTTTATTGAGTCTTAAACACTACACATCCATAAAATGTCGTACATGTTAGAGGTGTGCAAATCCGATCCGAAACCGTTCCGATTCGTTCGGATTTCGGAACCAAAATGTTCATTTCGGATCGGATCGGATTGATAAAGTTGTTTCGTAGTCGGATCGGACTTCGATATCCGAATTGAAATGAATTAATTATCCACGCATTTTCGCAAGAATTAATTTTCCATGCATTTATCAAAGCAACATCGCGGTTGTCGCTCCATTATTCGTTTGATATACTTCAATTGGACGTCACTTTGTCAGCTTCTTGACATGTATTTCTTGCTTTTATATTTATTTGGTCAAATATTTCAACTTGAATGAGAAATTTATTTTATTAAAGAATTCTTCGGATCGGATCGGAATTCTTTGTCAACACTCGGATCGGATTCGGATTAGACAATTTCGGATCGGATTTTAAACATTAGGCAATTGTCGGATTATAAACGTCCAATCCGATCCGATGCACACCTCTAGTGCATGTAATTTAAACGCACAACGCCATATATGATTTCACATGTTAAAATGTCTTTTCACATGTGAAGTGTTCAAATTCCACATAATTCCACATAAGTTCACATGTGAAATTAATTTTCATATAAGTCGATATGATCCTTAATTTCACATTGAAATGTTCCAATTCCACATTTCCACATAAACTTTCACAAGTGAAATGATATGTGAATTTTCCGTAAGGGCGTGATCACTATCGGGTTCATCACAGTCTGTTTGCCTTTGGCTATTTATACAGATTCCATGCATACTGTATATATTTTTGCCGCAACCTAACCTGTAATTTAAACGCACAACGCCATATATGATTTCACATCTTAAAATGCCTTTTCACATGTGAAGTGTTCAAATTCCACATAAGTTCACATGTGAAATTAATTTTCACATAAGTCGATATATGATCCTTAATTTCACATTGAAATGTTCCAATTCCACAGTTTCCACATAAACTTTCACAAGTGAAATGATATGTGAATTTTCCTTAAAGGCGTGATCACTACCGGGTTCATCACAGTCTAGTCAGTAAGTATATAAACGTATTCATGCACAAAACAGAGTTGCAAAGAGTGTTCAACCTTCCACGCTGTAAAATTTCAAGTTTTCAAACCTAGCTTTCTAAAAATAATGTGAATTATGCCTTTTACAAATTGCGAACTATATAAATTATGTCATTCAAAATCGGCTTCTTATTCCTATTTCCTATTCGGCTATTGACTAGTTTTTAGCATTGATCAACTGCTTGATTGCATTGCTATTGCCAGTGTTAGCCGTTAGGAAATGTTATACCACAAAACTCTGCGATTTTAATACACCTAAATTATAGCTTATTTGCTGTGATATTTGTTGAACCATAAACGTGAACAGATGCGGGACATCACCTGCACATTTTACAGAATATTTTTTATTGTTTTCTCCTCCGTATTCTCCAATATCTACCTCCTCCACAGGCCATACAGCCCGTAATGAGTATGCCCGTTCGCAGGTTGAAATTTGAAATTTGAGACGAAGGCTTGCGTAGCTGTAAGGCCTGCTGAATAACATGTCGATTACTTGGCTTTTGGTGTCGATTACTCGGTTGGGTCAAATTTCTTCAAAAATATGGAACATCGTCTGCCAATCTTTAGCAATCCCGTTTTGCGAGTATTTTCTAAATACATCTTTCGGTTCGTTTTCCACCAATTTTATTTTTTTGAAAGGCCTGCGGAGGCCGGGTAGCTCCAATATGATAACCATCCAGTATCGTTACTATCACAATAGTTACTAACACAACATCAGCATCCTGCCAATTTCAACCTGCCTAATCAAGTATCGTTTACTTGTTTTATGATGTTGGTATTGAGTAGAGACTAGAGTGTTCTACATTAAACCTTCCTCATTGATCTCCCATGCATGTGGTATAAACCTTCCTCACGGGTGGTATCCACATACCCGCAGCTTTTTTGAAACTCTGCAGCACAAAACAAAAACAATTATGTTTATTTTTATACTATGCAAACCTCATGGCAAGGTCAAGGATCTTATTATCGTTTATTTATAATTTATGATATATCTTTAAAAAGCGAATTAAAATGCGTGATAGCCAGTGGCGAAGATAGCCATTGCAACTGGTCAATTAAATAAACATTTGCCGAGGATGACCTGTTGCTATATATGCCTATACATGGCTTTTTTATCTTTGCCTGAATGTCTATAAGAAGTCTTGTCATGTGATATTTACCCATGGGTGTGGCCAAGAAAACAGGAAAGGGCAACAAAATCTAAGTCTGCATTTTAGGACGGAAGAACATGAAAAACTGTAAAATATAAGTTACTCGGTATAGCATAATTCTTCTCGTTCCCAAGATACTTTAAGTGTGATTTGATATGTAAATCAGAAATAACTCTATGACGTTACAAGCGCGAGTAGATCTTTTTTCAAACGCGGCAGCCTCGTCAAATGTTTAACTAAAATAATGAAATAATTCAAACTATGTTGTCGATTCCTTTAAAGACCATGTCAAGTCCGTAATGTAAACAAGTCCTTTGTGGCATTTTGAACTGCTGTATTTGTAAAATAAGACATATACTAACTGAATATATAACACTCTTCTTGTTCGCTATTGTAAATTAATATAAACTAACCTTTTTTTATCTAAAAAAGTAATATGTGGGTCCCCCTTTGTTATGAGCAGAACTGATGCGCAGAACGGACTTGACATGGTCTTTAGCCGACTTGCATAGAATTAAGTTTAATTCTTCCTGTACTAGACCGGAGCTTTCGGGAGAAGACTTTAGAACAGATAGCATATAAGCTAAAGTTTTCTAAAGTATCCATTTATTATAATAAAAGGCTTAAGTATGTTGTTTATATTTGTTTTTAATTTTCTTTATTCACGGTAAGAGGGGGCAAAAATTTCAATTCCTCTGTACTCCCCCACAAGCTTGCATTAATGTAGTTAGTTATAAATGCAGTGTTGAAATCTTTATATATATATATATATATATATATATATATATATATATATATATATATATATATATATATATATATATATATATATATATATATATATAT